TACTACTACTACGACTACGACTACTACTACTACTACTACTACTACTACTACTACTACTACTACTACTACTACTATTTTTTACTACTACTTTTACTACTACGACTACTACTACTAATAATTACCCTGGCGACGTACCCAACCCCTGCGCAAAAGCGGGGCGCAAATAGTTTAGGATACTTTATATGGGGGCGATGACGGAGCGAGGGTTACATATGTCTGCAGACGGAATCCGGGAGACTCGCAGGACACTGGCTACAGGAAAAGGGCTTGATAAAGCTGATGAATTACAATTCCTGCGCACTCCCAGCCACTTCGAAAACGGGGATCACAGCAGGCCTCGAAAGTGGCGACAGGTTCACAGATCGCAGCCCCGCAGGGACGGCGAGGTCTCATTTGAATCTGCCCGTGGCCCTCACTGTGCTGGGCCCCCCAGCAGGCCTCGAAAATGGCGGCAGTTTCGCAGATCGCAGCCCCCCAGGGATGGCGAGGTCTAATTTGAATCGCCCGTGGCCCTCACTGTGCTGGGCCCCCCAGCAGGCCTCGAAAGTGGCGACAGTTTCACAGATCGCAGCCCCCCAGGGAGGGCGAGGTCTAATTTGGATCTGCCGCGATTACCCTCTATGCTGGACCCCCCAGCAGGCCTCGAAAGTGGCGACAGTTTCACAGATCGCAGCCCCCCCCCCCCAGGGATGGCGAGGTCTAATTTGAATCTGCCGCGATTACCCTCTATGCTGAGCCCCCCAGCAGGCCTCGAAAGTGGCGACAGTTTCACAGATCGCAGCCCCCCAGGAACGGCGAGGTCTAATTTGGATCTGCCGCGATTACCCTCTATGCTGGACCCCCCAGCAGGCCTCGAAAATGGCGACAGTTTCACAGCCCCCCGCAGGCAAGACAGAAAGAGGCAGGAAAGAAGCGGGAGGCGGGAGGAGGAAGGACGCGACCATACTGCTCTATTCAAAACGAATACCCAACCAAGGAGGGTTGGGAATAATAATAAGTCGACCACGGTTATCACTCCAAACTCTACTATTGAGCCTAAGTGCGACTTATGATAAGAACACGGATACGGAAAAATGATAGCATTGAATTGCAAGTTGCGTGTTAGTTTTTCTTTCTACGCCATGCGATTGGTATTAGTATCACTCAGGTTACAAGAATGCTGGTCTCATTACGAACATCCAGAAATCATAGGAATGGGCGCCATGGGAGGCAACGGGCGTCGACGTCACACGCCGAATTCCGGATCGGGAACGCGCTAGAAGAGAGGAGGAGGAAGAGGAGGAGGAGGAGGAGAATCTTCTGACAGGCCCGCCTTGAGCTTCAGGCGGGGGGAAGGAAAGGACGAGTAGAGGAGAGGAGAAGGAGCATGCAGGAGGAGGGAAGGAGCGCCAGAAATTCGGAGTCTGCAGCTGCGGCGCTTGCCAGCGTCAATGTCCGCGACGGCACAAAAAAATGGAATGGGGGTCTCGGAACGACGCCACTGTCGCGGGCCATGGGTGGTGGTGCGTCTCGGCAGGGCCACTGTCGATTCGACCGATCCGATCCGATACCGACTTCGCCCGGCCCCATCCAATTCTGTTTCGATATCTCGACGACCCGATACGACACAATGCTTGTGTGACGCTGTTGTGCATCCTGGCTCAGCCGATCCAAGTCGATTCCGAGTCCGTGCCGATGCAGCCCGATCCGATATACTTTCCGACCCGGCCCGATCTACCGATTCGATGGTGACCGTTCTTACCGTACATCAGTCGAGGGGGGAGGGGAGGACGCATCGGGGGATGCCCACCCGACGTACAGGGACTTCTCGACCTCCAGCCCCAGCGTCGCCGATGCTGGTTCGCTGCTGCACCGCAGGCAATCTGCCGCGAAGGGCCCACAGGGGGGCAACGCGTAGCCTCTTCTTCCTTTCGCTGCTGACTCGATCCAACGCCGGAGGGGCGCAGCGGGCGATGCCCGCCCCGACGTGCGGGAGCTCCTCGGCGAGGAGCTCCCGTGAAGGAGCCTTTTCTGCCGTGGGCTTCCCGCTGCCGCCCCGCCGCCCCCTCCGCCTCGGCGGCCCTCCGCCCCCTCCGCCTCCGCCCCCTCCGCCTCCGCCCCCTCCGCTCCCCCCCCGCTCGCGGGTCCTCCGCCCCCTCCGCCTCGGCGGCCCCCGTCGCTCCGTCGGTTGCCCCATCGCCCCTCCCGCCGGCGGCCCCTGGGGCCGCCGCCGCCCCGCTCCCTCCCCTGCCTCCTGTGCCGCGGGCGTCGCCCCCGCGGCCCTCCCGTCGCTCGGCACTTGCCGCTCCCCGCCCCGCTCCCTGCCCCGCTCCTCCGCCACGGCCGCCCCCGTGGGGGGGGGGGGGGCGGAGCGGCGCGCCCGCCCCGCAGGTCAGCCTGCTGCCCTGCAAGTCGAAGAGGGGGCGGGGGGCGGGGTCGTCGTCGCCGTCGTCGCCACCGCCGTCCCCGTCGTCGTCGTCGTCGTCGTCGTCGTCGTCGTCGTCGTCGTCGTCGTCGTCGTCGTCGTCGTCGTCGTCGTCGTCGTCGTCGTCGCGGTTCGGGTCGGTCTAGAAGGGGGGGGGGATCCGGAAAGGGGGGGTACGAAATTTGCTGCGTGCAGCTGGCTTCGGCCCAGCCAACGGGCGCGTTCTTCAATACACGTGCGCCCCCGGCGCTGGTGGACGCCGGGAAAGCCAGCTACGTGAGCGTATTTGCGAACCCTCGGGGAGCAACGAATTACACAAACAAAAACTTTGGGAGGTTAACCCTCCTCCCTGGCGCGCGGAGCGTGCCAGGGGCGGCGCCAGAGGCACCGCCAGGGAGCTCCAGCGTCGATCCGAGAAATCCGCACGGACCTCCGAGAGTGAATGCTCATGCTATTTTTTCTCTCCCGGAGCCCTCCCTCTGGTATCTTCCCCCCCCTGCGTGCAACCCTCGGGAGCGGCAAAGAGGGGGGTGCTCCCCAGATTTCATGGCGCCTCGTCTTATTTCAATGCGTCCCCGCCCCCCTCCCTTGGCCGCGCACATGCCGCCGGACATGCTTTGTGCCCCCCCCCCCCCCCCTTTAGACGCTCCCCCTCTTGGCCGCCCCCCAAGCCCGAGGGGTGGCGTCGAGGGTCGAGGCTTGTCTGACGTTCGTCGACTCCTTCTGGACCTCTGGCGGCCTGCGGCGGCTGGGGGGGCAGAGGCTTCGGCGGCGCGCACCAGGGGATTGGCGCGAGGGGGGGGGGCCTTCTAAGAAAGCGGGAGGCCTTTTAGAATCGCAGGTCCGCGCGGATTTCTCGGATCTGCGCTGGACCCCCGTCCCTGGCGCCTCCGGCGCCAGGGCCGGCGCCGGCGGCGCCGCCAGGGGGGCCCAGCGCAGATCCGAGGAATCCGCGTGGAGTTCCGAATGCTTCTGCTTGCGCAGCTTTTCTCGTCTTCCAGAGAAGGCAGAGACCTTACCTTCTCTCAGAAGGGCCTGGAGGCCTTCAAGGAGCCTTCTTGGTAGCCTCTGTGCCCTTCTGCGGCGGCCCCCTGGCCTTCTCAGAAGGCCTGCCCCCTCGCGCCTCCCCGCTTGCTCGCCGCCCAGGGGTGTCGTCGTTTTCGAGGATCGAGGTCGAGGATCGAGGATCGAGGTTCGAGGATCGAGGATGGAGGATCGAGGTTCGAGGATCGAGGATGGAGGATCGAGGCTCGAGGATCGAGGATCGAGGTCGAGGATCGAGATCGAGGATCGAGGATCGAGGTTCGAGGATCGGGCTTGGTTGACGTTCGTCGGCTTTTTTCGGACCTTCCTGGCGGGAACGTCTGGAGCGGGGACCTCTGGGGGACCTGCGGGGTCCTCCGGGGCGGGGGAGCGACGAAGGGGACGCGGAGCTCGGATCTCGCGGCTCGACAGCGGCGCGGCGTCAGCAGGTTGAGCAGTTGCCAGTCACAAGAAAGTCAAGCGCAATGCAGGATCAGAGTGAATCGGGTCGGGCGAAAGGGGGGGATTGGGAAAGGGGGGGTTACGAAATTTGCTGCATGCAGCTGGTTTCGGCTTCACCGAGGGGCCCATTCCTCGATACATAGCCGCCTCCGGCGCCGGGAGGCGCCGGGAAAATCAGCTACGTGAGCTGATTCTCAAACCCCCCCTTTGCTATCCCCCCTTTTCGCCCGACCCGAGTGAAGCATTGAACAGCGAGGTACGGCGGAGAGGCTACGTAGAGGGCCTGCACGGTGCTCTCGAAAATGCAAAACCGAGGCTCACAGAAACATCACCGAGCAGAGCGTTCCTGGCGGGGGCGACCCACGACAAGGCAATGTACAGAACAGTAGCCGCATTGAAGAGGCCTGCTGCGACATGCAGAGACCGAATGACAGACCGGATGCCGAGAAGCCTCCAAAGTGGTAAGTGGGCTTCGGGTGTGGAGACGCGCGCGACAGGACTTGGACCACTGGGCGAACCACCCCGTCCAGAGAAATTCTGCTCGCTCGGCGCTGTCCAGCACGCACGGCGTGCACAACCCCTGGCAGCCCAGCACAAGCGGCGGCCGCGCCACGGGCCATCCCAGGAACCGTCCGCTGCGGCATGCGCACGGGGGGCATCCGATGACAGGAAGAGGCACACGCCGCAGAGGACAGCTCCCGACCTGCTCCCGGAGAGACTGGCCGAGCGAGCTCTTAGCCTGGGTAGTCGAAGGCCAGACTGTCAGATTGGATTGGGCCCCAAGGGCCAATCTGGCCTGGCCAAGCTGGATGATTTGGGTGATTCGCCAGACTGGATTCGCGTTGGCTCCCTCGCCAGATTGCTCCTGTTTGCCAGATTGTGCCTGCCAGATTGGCTTCGACTACCCAGTTGGCACGTCGTGAAGCGGACGGTCCACCCGCGCGACATCGAATCAGCAGGCATGGCTGGCGGCTTGCTGGATAGAGCCAGCCTCTTCTGCAATCGCCTGCCTCGGGGCCGAGAGAATGCCCATGGCTCTACCGGCCGCCAGCCCCACGGTCGCCTCTTCCTCGCGCTGAGCTGACCTGCGAGCTGAGAGGCGGTTGGCCAAGGCGCCTACTGCAGCATGTGCTGAAGCGCGATCACGAGTGAGAGGCAGGCCCATGCGATGAGCAGCGTCGATCGTATGCTCGACCCAGGAACCGTGGACAGTGTCCGCGGGGCTGGGCTCCTGGGGAGGAGTTCTGGGGTTGGTCCTCTTCGGGACTGGGAGCCTCCGAACTACGAGAGCTAGGAGGCGGACAGGCAGAGGCAGTGCGTCGTCGCGACCGGGGCTCCGCTTCCCTAACCACTGGAGGCCGACGGGGCGAGCGGCAGCGGCGGAACGCGCGTGGCTTCTCTGGGAGCACCAGCTGTGCGGCGACGCGCTTGCGCGATGCGCTAAGCTGACTAGCAATGTCTCCAGTGCTTCCTTGACCCCCAGGGGGCACAGGAAGGTGAGCACCCTGAGGAGAGAGAGGTCGGGGTTGTCCGTCGAGGTGGGGGCCGACGAGCGACGGCTCTCGCCAAGGCTGCACGCCGGGCGCACAGGGGCAGGCGCTGCTGTGGGGACCTCAGAGCGAGAGGCGCGAGCAGCATGCCTGTATCTGGAACTGCTCCTGCGCGGATGCCATGATCGCCTCGGCGCCGTGAACGAGCACCCGCTGCCGAAGGAGGGGCTGACACGCGCGACCAACGATTGAGGCGACGTGGACCTTCAGGTGCTGTTGAAAGAAGTGCAGCCTGGACGGGGAAAGCAGGAGCCGGTGCACTCGGCTCTGATTGGCCCCGTGCAGACGCTGCACGGGGCGATGGGGCACACAGCCTTCTGCGTGCAGCCGGTGGCCGCCCTTGGCGAAAGCGGCGCTGGTGGTCCAGGAGGAGGCAGCGCCGGTGGCCGAGGGGGGGGCTGCGCAGGTGGTCGAGGAAGGGCACCGGGGAGAGCTCGAGGGCACACCTGGACCGGGTCCGCCGCCGGCGTCCAGAGGGGGGGGGGGGGCGGGGTGCGGCCCTGCCAGGGGCGGCCCTGCCGGCACGCCCGCTCGTGGCTCGAAACGGCGAGGAGAGCCCCTGCGGGCCAGAAGGCCTCGAGCCTCGGGTGTCGGTCCTCGAGGCCGGCCGCGCGGCGGCGCGCCGCGCGCGCTCCCCTTGGGGCGCCTCTGTGGGACTCCGGGTTGCGGGGCCCCCGGCCCCGAACGCGCCCCCTTAGCTCTCGGGGAGACGCGAGACTCGAGTGAGCTCAGGAGGGGAAAAAACACACAGACACAATTAATCGTCCACTCCCAGGAAAATATGAGAAAATATGGGAAGTGGGGGGGAAGACAAAAAACCAGAAAATATGCGAAAATATGGGGAATCTGTTTATTTGTGTGTATTTGTTTGTGTGTCCTGGGGCCCCTTCATGAGCGGCACTCGGGCTCGCCGACGTTTTTTGGCGCGCGCGTCCTGGATTTTGACGGTCCGGTCGTCGTGGGATGTCTGCGGCGGGAGCTCGCGTCAGATTTCAGATCGGGTCTCGTCGGTTTGGTGACGGCCCCGTCAGGCCAACCCGAGTCCCCCGTGCCCGAGTCGCGCGTGTCCCCGAAGCTCCTGGCCCTCCCGACCCTGGGAGGGGTCCAGTCCGTGCCCCCGACCCCGAACCTCACTATTGACCCGAAACGGGTACCCTGTGGCGACGAGGAGGGCCCTCGGGAGGGGTCCAGTCCGGGGCCCCCGACCCCGAACCCCATTCTTGACCCGCAACGGGGGCCCCGTGGCGAGGAGGGGGTGCCCCTGGAGGTCTGAAAAAGCTGCTAGCTCCGAGGTCGATATCCTCGAGGCTCGCCGCGCGGCGGCCACGCGGCGCGCGGGTGGCGGCCGCGCGGCGCCGAACCAACTCGCGAATGCATTCACAAATCAATTCAAAAATCAACTCCCAAATCAGTTCATTCCGAAATCAAGTCAAAGGCAACTCCCAAGTCGACTCCGAAATCAGCTCCCACATCAGCTCAAAAGCAACGCCCGAACCAACTCCAAACAGACTCCCAACTGAACCCCGAGAGAATCACTCCCCAACCGCGCCGACACTGGGCGTCGAAAACAACTCAAAAATCAAATCAACTTACACATGAATTAACGCATCAACTCGTTAAACAAGTCGTTCCCGAGCTGTAAGCGATTTGTTGTTGCGACCTCTGTAGGTCGATTTGGCCATTGTGGCGCCCATCCGGGGGGCTTATGATTTGAAGGATGGAGGAATGATATAGACTTGCTATAAAGAGAGAGAGAGAGAGAGATCTAACATGATTGTGTGAAGAGAGAGAGAGTGTGTGTGTGTGTGCGTGTGAGAGAGAGAGAAAGAAAGACAAAAAAAAAACATACTTTACGAGATGCGTATATACATATACAAAAAACAGTTGATATTTTGAGGGAAAGACAGATAGGGCGATATCTGTGGATCGCACTTGCTTCTATAGTGCGAGGGAGCGGCAGAGAGACAGAGAGAGAGAGAAGGAGCGGGAGAGAGCAAGAGAGAGGAAGAGGGAGGCAGGGAGCGAGGGAGGGAGGGGGTGAGAAGAGGAGGAGGCGGAGGTGGAGGGAGGGGGAGAGAGAGAGAGAGAGAGAGAGGATGCAGAGAGGGGTTGGCAGGAGGAGGCGGGAGGGGATCCGGAGGAGGAGCAGCAGAGAGAGGAAGGTGCGGGGGAGGGCGATGGGGGGCCTCCGCGGAGGGCGCTCCCGCGGCGCCCTCCTCGGAGGCCCGGGCCGGAGCTGCGGCCGGGGCAGGACGGGCCAGAACTGCGCCTTCGTGCACTACCAGGAGGCCCGCTCCGCCGACGCGTGCCTCACCGCCATCGGCAACGGGGGCTACCAGGCCCGCCGCCGCTCCTGGGAAGGAGACGGCGGCGGCCGCGGCGGCGACGACCACGACGAGAGTGGGCCACGACGGCGGCGGCAGCGGCGGTGGCGGCGGCGGCGGCGGCGACGACGACAACGAGGAGGAGGAGGAGGAGGAGGAGGAGGACGACGACGACGACGACCACGACGACGACGTCTGCATCGGCGGCGGCGGCGGCAACGAGGCGGGATAGGTTTTCGGGCGTTTTGTGGCGTCTTCGGCGGGATCTCGGTCGTTTCGGGGAGGCCTGGGGGGGAGGGTTTCTTGTGATCCTGGAGTTAAGTCTAGCCTTGTCCGAGGAGGAGGAGGAGGAGGAGGAGGAGGAGGAGGAGGAGGAGGACAGGGAGGAGGAGAGAGAGGTCGAGGAGGAGGGGACAAAACTGGATGAGGAGGAGGGGCCCAGAGGCTTCCGGGACGGCCTCTTCGCCCCGCGAAGTGGCTCCACGCCGTGGGGCACGGCATGGAAGGGGCTCGTCGTCGTCGAGAAGTCGAGGGCCCGCGGAGGCCCGCGGGGGTCAAGCGAGGACGGCTTCACTTACAGAACAAAAATGCGGCGCCAGGATCTCAGGGTTCCTCCCTCCCTTCCCCTCCCCTCTTCCCTCCCCTCCCTTCCCTCCCTTCTTCCCTCCCTTCCTCCCTCCCTTCCCTCCCTTCCTCCCTCCCTTCCCCTCCCCTCTTCCCTCCCTCCCTCTCTCCCGCGAAGAAGAAGAATCGGCATCGGCATCACCTCCTGGAGGTCCGCGCGGATCTCTCGTGCCGGCGCTGGGCCATCCCCGTCCTCGGCGCGCCGATCGCGCGAGGCAGGCAGGGGGGGTCCGGGAGGCGCCGCTCGGGGGGGTCCCAGCACTGAGCCAAGAAAGAAGTCGGCGCGGACCTCCGAGAGGTTGCGCCTACAGTCGGGGCCCTGAAGAAGGAACCCTTCTCGTTGGGGAGGGGCTCCGTGTTCCCCAGGTGTTTCGCAGCTTGTCTTGGATTTTCCTTAGGTTTTCGAAACGAAATCGAAGTTCAGCTCATGGAAAACAGGGGCCTCGTTCCTTATTTAGGGCTCCTTAGGTCAACGCCTCGACTGCAGGGGAACAGGGAATGACATAAGCGTAAAAACTCAAAGGTCCTCGCGGATTCCTCAGATCGGCGCAGGGGGGCCCTGGCGGCGCCTCTGGCGCCAACCCTGGCGCGGAGGGGCGGGGTCCAGCGCCGATGCGAGAAATCCGCGCGGAGCTCCGAGTTGATGTGTTTATGCCGTTGGTCGTTTCCTTAGCGCTGGCACAAGCTGGCGGAAGGCTGGCAGAAACTTTCCAAGATGCCCTCTTTAGTTGACGCGAAGCGCCTTTGACGTGGACCGTTTGTTATCCGGCAGTCGTTTACTTTTACTATAGTGATGTCTGGATCGCATCCCGAAATTCGCTGGCGGATGACGGAAAGCGCCTTTGACGTGGACCGTTTGTTTTGTTGTGGTAATTTTCTCTAGCTAATGGGGTTCGGGATGCTTCGGGAAACCCGCGGGCGGATATAGGGAATCGCGCTCAGACTCGAAGATTCGCGCGATGGACATTGATTCAGGCAAGGTGGGAAAAATATATCAATTTAGAGGGTTCATGGGGGAAGTGGCTTGTGATTGCTTCCCGGCGCGCACCTGGCGGATGACAGGCGTGCCCTTAGACTCGGAGAGTCGCGTGATAGACGTTGCTACATGGCCTGGACGGGGATTATTTTTGATAGGGGGGTCTGAGGAGGTGAATCCCTCAGAATCGCTCCGCGATCGGGACTTAGCGGATGACAGGAAGCGCGCTTAGATTCGAAGGGTCGCGCGATGGACGTCGCCTATCAGCCTGGAAGGGAATACTTCTTTTATTGGGGAGGTCCAGAGGGGGGAATCTCTCGCCACGCGGCGCCGCAAATTGGAGGAAGGGGGATCGAAATGTGTACCGGAACAGCGGTGACGCAAGCCGACAGCAGTTCCTGACCACTTTACGCAGGGCTCGCTGTCGGTGTCGCCGCGGACGTTGTTCACTTGACACAACCTGGGTAGTCGAAGGCCAGACTGTCTGATTGGATTGGGCCCCAAGGGCCAATCTGGCCCGGCCAAACTGGATGATTTGGGTTATGCGCCAGACTGGATTCGCGTTGGCTCCCTCGCCAGATTGCCCCCGTTTGCCAGATGGGGCCTGCCGGATTGGCGCCAGATTGGCCTCGACTGCCCAGAAACTCCTGGGTGCTTTCCGGGAAGCGCCGGGCAGCGTTGGAAGGCAGCTTCCTCCTCCCCCATCTTTCGGGGGAGCGTAAGACCCGGGTTTGCCAGGACTCGGGTTCGCCATCGTTTTTTGACGACCGCGACTCGGATTTTGACGAGGAGGAGTTTTGTGGGATGTCTGCAGCGGGAGGCCTCGTCAAAATGCAGGCTCGGCCTCGTCATTTTGTTGACGACCTCGTCGGGGATTTCCGAGTCCCCCGTACCCGGGTCTTACGTCTCCCCGAATCTTGCCCGCGCCCTCCCAGATGAAGCCCGGCGACGGCGACATCCGCGTGGAGCGGCCGGGGGAGAGGAAGAAAGGCCCGCCCGCCGAGCCGCCCGCATCCAGTCGGCAGCCGCCGCCCTCCGAGCGCGGCCGCAGCGTCTGGGGGGAGCGGGGGTCTTGGAGAGGCGTGGTCGTCCTCCTGCTCCAGCTCCGCCTGCAGCAGGCAAACGGAGCGGGGAGGTACAGTCGGGGCGCTGAAGAAGGAGCCCTTCTCGTCGGGGAGGGGCTCGGTGTTCCCTGATTGTTTAGGCAGCTTGCCTTCGATTTTCCTTGGGGCTTCGATGCGAAGTCGAAGGTTAACTTATGGAAAAAAGGGGCCTCGTTCCTTATTTAGGGTTCCTTAGGTCAACGCCTCGACTGTAGGAGGTTGGGGAACAGGGAGGTTCACGTTGCGGGCGGCACTCGTCCGAGTGTCGTTGTGTGGTGTTACGTCGTGCTTTGCTGCGTTGGGTTCCGTGTGCGTGTGTGCACGTGCGTCCTTGTGTGCGCGTGTGTGTGCGCGTGTTTGTGTCGTCCTCAGCTCGTTTTTGGAGGAGTTCTTCCAAGTTCACCTTCACTCCCGAGTGCTGGCCTCAACGCAGGTTGGTAATCAATATGCTCGGCGCCCGTTCATATTGTTAATCACGATTGTGGTGTCATGTCGCGGGTGGAGGAACTAATATGCCTTACTGTGCGGTGTGTATACGTGTTGGCGTGTGGTGTGTATGGTATGTGCGTTGTGTGTATTGTGTGTAGATGTCCATCTTCACCCACTCGTGTTGGAACCTCAGGCCGCTTGACAAAGTCATCAGCCGCATAAGGGGCCACGTGACCACTCACCCAGCGCAAGAACTGCACCCCAGGATGGCTGAGGCTATGAGGCGGTCCTCAGCCAGAAGGAGAGGGACCATGATCACGAGTCCGCGGTCCGTGAGTTTTGCAGGCGGCTCATGGTACACAGGAGGCCCCCGGAGCTCCGCCCCCTAGCTGCCAAAGAGCGCGCGGACGCCACGGGATGCTGTGGATTCTTCACCCGTCCGGGGCGCGCCAAGGCAGGCCACTCCGCGACGCGGTTGGAGGCCACTCCGACCCCAGATGCTTCCCGAGGAGGGTCGCACCCGTGCCGCATCACTGTGGCACCAGGACCTCCCCGCAGCCCACCGCGGCTTCCCTCGTCCGGGCGCCCTGGGCCAGGCCGCCTGCACCGTGTGCGGCCTGCGCGCAGCGCAGGGCGCCCGCCGCCCGCCTCGCGCCGAGCGCTGCTCCCTCCGACATCGGGACGGCCCTCGGCAGTGCGGGGCTCATCCCGCCCGCGCCTCGGGGACGCCCCTGACAGGATGCCCCCCAAGAGGCTCCCAAGAGACCCCCACAAGGCCCCAAGAGGCCCCCCCAAAGGCACCCAAGACGCTCCAAGAGGCCTCGGCGAGAATGCCCAAATCACTGATGTTGCTAAGGTTTGGGCCACATGTTGGCCTCCTGGGGGGGGGGCACTGATTAAGACTACTCCCAGAGCGCCTGGGAAAGCCCAAGATGACCTCCAAGATGGCTCGAGATGTCCCAAGATGCCTCAGTGGGGCACCTGCCAGTTTCCCCTCGCCTGCGGCTCCCCACCGGCACGGAGCCCTGTGCCCGGGCGGCCTGCGCCCGAGCGGCGGCAGAGCTCCTGCGGCCTGCGCCAGGCCCTGCGCGGCGCCGACCTCCCGCCCGTTCGCACACCTTGCGGCCCTCTGGGCCCCACTCCGCAACCAGACCCCCCCCCCGCCTGGGCCACGTGGGGGGCCCTCCTCGGGGCGCGCTGGTGGTCGCAGCTTGTCGAGGCGGCCCAGGTGCGGCGGGCCTCCGCCCTCCCCTCTCTGGTCACCTGGAGCGTTCGCTGCCTGGCCGAGGCCCCCTCGCGCAGAAACCGCGAAAAGCGCGCCCCTTCAGGTCACCCCGGGCGGGTGACCGGGTCGCTCTTTTTCAAAAGACCCACCGTCCCTCGTCCTCGTTCGTCTTCTTTCTCTTCCTCCTCCTCCTCCTCCTCCTCCTCCTCCTCCTCCTCCTCCTCCTCATTGTATTCCTCCTTCTGCTCCTCCATACTCTTCCGTACAGGCGCCCCTGACGGTTTCCATGTGGGGTGCTGAAACCAGCGCCTCGCCCGAGACTTCCCCACAATATGGTTTGAAAACAGACAGGCAAACCGCTTCAGACGTCCCTACAATCTGGGCGCCAGCGGGAGAGCGAGATACATCCCGGCGGCTCCCCCTTTGCGATGATGAAACCAGCGCCTCGCCTGAGACAAGCAAGCCGCCCCAGACATCATCACAACCTGATTCCGAAAGCAGAGGGGTTCGGGTGGCCCCCGAACCGGCAGACCGTTTGGAATATCAAGTGCTGAGACCAACGCCTCGCCTGAGACACCCTCACAATCTGCTTCGAAAACAAAGGAGTCTGGGGGGACCAAGCTAGCAAACCGCCTCACATATCCCCACAGTATGAAACCAACGCCTCGCATGAGACATCCTCACAAGCTGCTATGAGAGTCGGAGGGGTGGGCAAAACAAGCAAACCGCCCCAGACCTTCAATCTGGGCGCGAATCTTGAAGTGCCCCCGCCTCTGGTGCCTCCCCCTTGGGATGCTGCAACTACCGGCTCGCTCGAGACATCCTCACAATCTGCAGGTGTGAGTGCGAGTACGTCGCAAATCGGAGTACGAATGAGGCTGAGTGCGAGTGAGCTTGAGTACGAGTAACCCTGAGTGTGAGTGATCATAATGAAAAGCCTTGAGTGTGAGAACAAGGAGGAGGAAGGAAGGAAGGAAAGAACGAACAGAGGATTCGGATGCGTCTGAGTAATGACAAGAGCCCCATCCCAGAATATGAGGAATAACAGGAAACCCATCTTGGGAGTACTGTAAGTGAGTCTGAGTGCGAGTAGTGTAAATGGGTCTGAGCGTGAGCGAGTCTGACTGTGAATGAGTATGAGTGTGAGCGAATCTGCGTGTGGGCGAATCAGAGTGCGAGCGAGTTGGAGTGTGAGTGTGTCTGATTACGAATGAGCCGGAATATGAGTGAGCCTGAGTATGAGAAAGTCCGGGCTTGACGACGGAGCTTGAGTATGAGTGATTCGAAAAACGAGAAAGTCTGAATATGAGTGAGTCCTAGTGTGGAAGAAGAGGAGCCAGAGCAGAGGGAGGTGACTGAGAAGTCGGGGGGCGTCCGAGTGAGAACAGGAGCACTATCTCTGGATATGGGGGTAAGAAAAATCAGTGTGGCTGTCTTGAAATATCTCCAGCTCAATGCGTTCTGCAACCGGATCCTGCCGCTTGCAAATCAGCTCTGGCCGCTTGGGCGAATCTGCATTAAGATCCGCCCTAGCAACCTATATTCGACCAAGCAGTCTGAACTCTTGATGAGCAGTTGTATGAGAGCCACGATGATTATTAGATGTGTCGTTGTCGGTCCGATGCGCAGTAGGGAAACGTGCGATTCTCAGTCAAAAGCATGGGTGAGCACATGCAACGGTTGTGCCTTTTGTACGTACATGAATACTCCAGATTTCGTAATAAAAGGGAGGGGGTCTCAACCCTCCCAGACGAGAAGTTTTAGACCCCCCCCCTGGGAGAACCCTCCAAAACATCGTCCCCAGACCCCCCCCAGGCCCTCCAAGATAGCCTGGAAGAGACCCCCCCCCGAAATGAGACCCCCCTCCCTTTATTACGAAATCTGGAGTACATACATCTGTACACAACCGCATCATCGAATTTAATTATCGCGAATGGAAGCTCCTCAGATTCATCCCCTCTGTTTCTCTGTATATATCCCTCTCTGTCCCTCTCTCTCTCTCTCTCTCTCCCCCTCTCTCTATTACCACATGTTTGTAGATATATATATATATATATATACCTATATATATATATATATGCATTATTATGTGTATATACGTGCTCTCTCTCTCTCTCTCTCTCTCTCACACACAAACGCACGCGCGCCCACACACACACACACACACACACACACACACGGCCTTAGCACTCCACCTCGAATGATTGTGATTTCCCGAGACTCTTGATCGTCTCTCTTGTTCTCTCGGGCTGCCGTTATTTGTGTCTCTTCCTCCTCGTCCCTCGCGCTGCTTTCTCCCCCCCTCCTCCTTATCCTCCTCCCCCTCCTCCTTCCTCCCTCCCTCCCTCCATCCCTCCCTCCCTCCCTCCCTCCCACCTCCTCATCCTCGCCCACCTCCTCCTTTGGCCTCCTCCTCCGCCAACTCACCACCACTATCCTCCCTCCTCGTCCCTTTATCCTCCCTCCTCCCCCTCCTTCCCCCTGCCATTAATCTCTCTTCCTCCTCCTCCGCCTCCCCGTTATCGTCCTCCTCATCATCCCTTCGTCTGGCCATGACGTCCAAGTAACGTTTCCTCCTGTGGCATGCCAGGTGTGCAAAGGTCAAGCGTAATGAACAATATGTTGTTGACAGAATGAAAAGGGAGGGAATAATAAGAGGAAGGGATGAAGAGGAGGGGGAGGAGGAGGAGCAAGAATTCGATTGGCCTTGCATACAATTCAAACAAGGATTCAATAGGAATGGGCGAGCACGAGACGAGGGGGAGGATCCTATTGAATTCGAAACGACTAAGGCAGGACAAGAAAAAACACATGAAAAAAGAAGAAGAAGGAAGAGGAGGAGGAGGAGAAAGGCGGGACTTTACTTGAATATCAGTAGAACATAGATAATGAACAAGCATGCTGTGATGTTCAAAAGCTTTGAGACACACCAGGTTCCATATTCCAGAAGCTGGGAGATCGTGTGTGCTTACATGGGCAATGCCCAAGCGCTTTCAGACGCCAATGACAACACAAGGTTGTGAGCTCCAGAAATGAGATCGCCATAACACAAGGCTGTGCACTGTCCAAATCAGAAAACATGATGTTTCAAAGTCAAAAAACCAGTGGGGCCCCCGAAACGTGTGACAACACAGGTTGCTCTGTTCTTGGTCTCACGAAGCCATACAATAGATTGTGGTCCTTATGTTCTGTAAGATACGAGGCACTACTACATGTTGTGTTTGTTATGTGTT